CAGCGCCATTCTCTTCTCCTGAAAGTATAACCATTGTTTTTCATATCTCTGCCTCAGTTTAGTTCCTTCAGAAGACTGCACAGATGTTTTTAACTCCTGGCATTTTCCCTAATACTCCTGTTCTAAGTCCTCCATTGTCATGTTAAATTCTTCATACTCGTGTCTAGTTTCCACTATCACCTGCTCTAACTCCTCATCTGTCCAGGCCTTACACATTTGGGTCCATATAGATAGGTCAGAAGAGATTTTCCCACTAGAAGCCAAAGAAGTATCCTCTTATTTCTCCTTTGTACAATTTTGCTTCTTTTTTTCCTTTCTGTCATCTGTTTTTTAACCTGCCACAAATCAATATCTTGCTTGGGTATATTGGTTGTTCTGACAGAAATAGTCAGAACCCTAGCATCACCATAAAACAGGAATCACATTGAAATCTGTCAAGGGCCCCATGCTCAATTTGGGGGCTGCATGAAGACGACCCCAAAAACTTTGAAAAGCAGCTTCTGAACTCACAGACATCTGTTTCTCAGAGTCCTGGTGGAATAATCACTGCTAAAACATCCTATTTAGGAATGTTCAAATTTCTGTCAACACTACCTCAATCATGTACCGTTCTTTCGATTTTTCTGGATCCATGCCTCTATAACGAAGTCTGGTCACGTATCTTTGATGTGGATCAAAATCACCTTCTTCCCATTTCATTAAAAAATTCATCTAATAACTTGTCATCAAGTAAAAATTCTGTCTCATAATTTATGATATGTCTCGGGGGTTCTCTCTGTGCTCCACTAGAGCTCCTTTCACCCACCAAACCACCCTTATCCACACGTGAATTCTCCTGCTATTCCTCCCTGCCTTCCTTTACCATGCTTGCATAGGAGTGTTTTGGTTGTGAACTCTTTAGTTGATCGTCTGAATGTGAATGTTGTGCAGAACGGTATGTTTCTCTTGGTATCTGTATTAGTACCTCTTTATTCTACTTAGCCCCCGTCATGGCTCAGGTGGGGTGTCACCTGACGCTGCCATCACTATGGTTTTAGGATCCCTTGAGAAGGCCCAGAGCACCCTCCCAAGACCTTCGCACCTCCCTTATTTGGCAGAATAATAAGTGTGAGGACCAGGCAGAGTGAACAACAAGAAAAGGTTTATTTTACAGGATGTCAGTCACATGGGAAACAAACAAGGTGCAAGAATAATAACGATAAGTGGATGAAGAGAAAAGAAACCAAATGCCCTAACGCGACTAAACTCACAGTCCCCAGTCCACTGTCTCAGCTGGGCCTGAGTCTACTCACCCTTCCCCTCAGAGTGAAGGCCTCTCCCAGCAGCTGCCTTCCCTCTGGCCCTGCTCTCTTGGAAGAAAGAACAACTCTTTTTCTATACCAGCTCTTTTATTGTAAGTCCCCTTTCTCTGTAATTGGCTAAAATTGGCACCAAAACCTCTCAGGGACTTCTGGGAGTTGTAGGCCTGGCCTCCTCCCACTGCTACTCAGGCTCCCTGGGCCTGCTAGGCCTTGCTTGCACAGCCCAGATCATGACACCTCCCTTTCCAGATCAGGGGTTAGATCTTTACTATATCCCTCCCCTAATTCTCTAGATGCTATTTGTTCTCCTGAAACATCCCCAGTAGTTAATACTGAAGCTTCTATTTGTCCAAAAAAAGTAACCTACCCATTGAGCAGCAGCCGTACTTTCTCCAAGAGAACTCTTCCTCCTTCTACTTGACTTCTCCTATTGAGCCTTAACTCCTCCCCCTTTTTAATTTTTTCTTACTACCTTTGAGACATCTTGCCAGGGGTCATTTCGTAGAAAAAGAGCTAGGGAGACTCATTAGCATAACTCATTAGCATATGCCACACACCCTGACATCACCGGAAGTGTGTCCTCCCCACAGCCGGCGGCGACCTCCAGCGGGCACCAGCAGGGAGCTCCAGGCCCCGCCCTCCTGCACCTCACCCGGGGGGATGGCGTCCCCCCACGTCCCCCCTCAAATGACCCCTGCATCTTGCACATTCACTGATTTGTGACTTTTCCCGTCTTCCATCATACCTTAAAGGAATTAAATTCCTCCACCGCTTATACCAGACACTTTCACAGGTTCAGGAAAATGAACAGCTACATCAGTAGACACTTATCCAATATTACTCATTGCTGACTCTGACACAGCTGGCTCTAGTACATTCGAAGGCTTCTCCTCTAAATCATCAGAGTTCGGCAAGTCCTTCATACTTCTGGTTTTCCTCTCCCTCTTCCTTTGCTGACAGACAGGCAGAGCTGGCATCACTGGTGAAAAGTCCAAGATTTGTTGACTTTGAACATCTCGTTCTTGCCGTTTCTCCTGGGCTTCAATGTTGGATTGCTCCATCACCTCCAATTCTGCAGGAGTCACTGGATGGAAAAAGCAGATAAAACAGATTGCGGGGGAACCTGTGGGAAGGGATCCCCCTATTGATCGTAAAGAGCCCTTCTCCGATCAACATGGTCTGTTCTCTCCTTCTGAGATGGCGCTGGTCTCGGGATCACCTATCTCATGCTTTGAAGTCGCACCTTCATGGCATGGACCACTGCATTTTTTGTCTTTGGGGAGTTCTTCTTGTTTTTCGCCTGGGTCTCTATTCCTGTCTTGAACTGGACTGCATCCTTCTACCTGATTTTTATTTCCTGCTCGGTGTGGCTTTGTTGCCATGAAATAGAGGAATTTTGTTCTTCTCCCAAAAATGAAAGGTCTTTATTCCTTTCTCCTCCTTCCTCTGAACAAAGCATTAAGGAATCTTCCAGTACAGCTTGGGAGTGGTTCAATACCAAACAATGTATTTGGGACTGTCTTGTCTGGGCAGACTGGATGCTCAAGATCTTCCAAAACACTAAGTTCAAAGACTGGATCCCAACTTCTTGTATTAAAACCTCCTTCAAGTCTCCTGCAGCTACCTGCAAAGAAGCCTCAAACCAGGGCCCAGTTTCACCATCACAGGGACTAGAAACTTCCATGAAGGCTTGTGCGTCTTTAAGCTTTCCAAAGTCTATGTTTTGAGTGTTCCTGATGTCTTCTTCCCTCTCACCCACTGAAGCTGTCAAAATTTGGTCTTCTCCAGTGGTTTTTTTTTTTTTTAGAAATAAAGGCCTGGCCTCAGAAAAAACTAGGAAGTTGCTTGGGGCCTAGTAAGGCTTCTGGGCCTAGTAAGGCCTCATGACTGAGGCTTCTCTTAGACTTTCCTTTCAGTTTCAATTTCCCATCCCCCACCCCCACTAGAGGGGGGCTCCATTTTCAAACCCCAAAATGCCGTGGAGGGGCACAAAAAAATTCCACTGGAAGAAAACTTAAAATCTTTCAAATATGCAAAAAACGCTACTCACTGTGAAGAGCTCCAGCAGCACACAGCCTTCCCTGAGAAGGTGAGGCAATCCAAGAGTGTGGAGGTGGAGTTGCAGCTGGAAACATTTCCCATTGAAATGGAAGACAAAGACAATGAATGTTTAATAGCAAAATAAACCATGCCTTGAAAACTAAAACCAAAATTTTAGCACACACTCCTAACTGAGCAAACTCATCCCGGCTTAATGCTCAGGAGCAGCTTGAGTACATGACAGCAGGATGGCAGATGTGCTTTCCAGAGCAGGTTGGCTTCTTCAGAGCCTTTGCTGCAATATTTATCATGCAGGGACCAGGAAGAAACTTCAGCACTGTTAACAACTTTCTAACCCTCCCAGAAAGGTCTGTTTATTCTTTTGCTTTGAAAAGCACTAAACTAAATTAACAATGCCCAGCTGCTGACTACCAGAGTGGAGATTTGTTAGTGTTCCGGGAATTTGAGACAGAGCTTACATTTATGGCTGCTGCTAGTAGTCCTTGAACCATATGAGTCTCCCAGTTTATGTAACTGACCTAGCCCATTCCTTCCTCTTTTAGGAGTCAGTAATTCACTATTGTGTTCTCTTTTGTCCTGCAAATGACCTCAAAAGAAAAGGCATGAGTCTGTGTCATTTTATAGCAATTGCGAAAGTGATGCTACAACATTGTCATGAAGGGTTAGCAATGGACGAGTATATCTACTGCAGTCCCAAAGGGGTTAATGATCTCTTTGTTGGTGCTGACAGCATTGCTGGAAAGACATCTGGAATCATAAAAAGGAAAGCAAACAAAAATTCATATAAAACTTTAACAAGTCCATTTACTTGCTTTCTGGGGGCCTGCATGGGGGTGCATACTTGTCCTGCAGTTCCTAACTGCCTGGTGCAATGCATAACTTGTGGTGAGTGGAAAACTACAGATTCCGTGGAAATCACATGGTTGCAAACATGTTTGCTGCCACACGCACTTGCACTGAGATGCTATGACCAGTTTCGATTCTTTAGCATAGTGTTTGCAAACTCCAGCCTCGTGGGAATATGTTTAATGTTGATGTGCCTATAAAAATGTATGATGTTGACATCAGAGATCTGTTGTGGCTGCATTACACTGCAGTCACTTGGCAAGAAGTACAAAAACAAGCAAATTAATGTGCCTAGTTAACTAACACAGGAGTACAATGGCATCTGAGAGACAAAATTTATTCCAGCATCAGCTTTGGTGAGTTTGAGCTCACTTCATAAAATGCATGAAGAGCATGTGAGCATGTAGCTGGTGGAGTGAGCTTGGACTGATGCTGGATGCTGGTAACGGATTTTGTCTTGAAGGTGTCACTGGACTCCTGTTTTATTTTGCTGCTGACAGGCTATCCTGATTCCTGACTCCCTATCTGGAATTATCACCATCAAAAGCCATCTTGGAAGATCTAATCTGAGGAACGGTGTACAAAAACAGGGGACCTGAAGAGTAACGCTCCTCTTTGGGCTTGCAAGCAGTCCTTACACATGTCTCCCAGGTTTCGGGTTACTTGCGATCGCAACACACACCTCCAAGGAAGATTCTGGGGGGACTACAAGTCCCAGAATCCTCCCGCACACTCCACACCTGCGAATGGGGTGCCGCCTGTTTGTAAAAGTAGGAGGGAGGCGGAGAGAAAAGGAGATGAGGATGGATCGTGGGGAGGAAAGGCAGAGGGCTTCTTACGCGTGGGAGAGCTGCCCGACGCCGTTACCCTCCAGCAACCGGAGTAAATGGGTGAGGCTGAACGTCGGAGGGACCGTTTTCTTAACTACCAGGCAAACCTTGTGCCGCGAGCAGAAATCGTTCCTTTGCCGCCTGTGCCAAGGGGAGGAGCTGCAGTCGGATCGGGTAAGCCGCGGCGCGGGCTCGCATCTTGGTCCTCCCGAAGGATCGGGGTTGTTTTGCAGACATGTGCGGCGCGCCCTGGCTTCCTCCGCGCCTCGAGCAGCGCCTGCGGGCAGGGAGAGAACAAAGGGCCGGCGTGTTCGGCGTCGGGATCGTGCGGAGTCGCCTTCGGCCTCCCTCTGTTTTAAGCCGCTGGGGCTCGTGCGCTTTGTGTTGCCGCGGAGGGGCTTTTGCAGAGGAACGCCTCCTCGCCGAGGGCCGCTGGAGCCCGCGTCGTTTGCCTTCTCCCTTCTTTCTGTTGAAGTCGCATTATGAATCCCTAGATCAGATTAATTCTTGCGGCGCCCAAGTGCTTAAGAAGCCAAATCCTACAGCAGTAGCCTTACTCTGTAAGAAATCTACTTGGACCATCCTGGTGTTTTTGTGTGAAGTGCATGGCTTGTGCAAAATATTTACTTCTGGAGCGGCTGCAGCTGCATCGTCTTGCCAAGTGCGATGATGATCAGTTGCCCTGGGGAAGGGGAAGTAATTATTTTAGATGCTTGCGACTTCCCGAGGAAGCTTGTGAGCAGAGACAGAGTCTCACAAAAGAGATGCAACGACCCTCCCCCATGTTGCTTGTTTATCTTGCGAATTATTGCCAGACCCCCTCCCCCTGTGTCAAGGTCAGCACTGTCTAGTCTGACCTTGGGTGTCAGGTAGAGGTGTTTTGCATTGCACCCCCTGCTTTGAAAAGATCCTGCTTGAACAGGATTGCACCTGGGCATTTCTGCATGCAAAGCAGCTGCTCTGCCCGTGAGCCATAGCCCTTTCTCCCTTACAAAGCCATGTCACAACAACAGAGGCCACTTTGCCAAACTTCCAGTGCAAAGACAAGGCTGCTCCCACGTCTAATATGGGATTTACACTTCTGGAGACCAGAAATTTATCTTGTGATTATATAAACTGGGCACCTAAAGAGAAAGAATTGCTTACTTAAAAATTCCCGTTCTTAAGTAAGTGCTTCCTCAGAATTGTGTGCTTGGAGACAAATCCAAGTCAGGTTCATGAAAAGAACACTCTCCTCTTGGAAGGTTAGCATGTTTCATTCATTCATTCATTTTATTACGGTCAGAGAACCATTAAACAACATACAAAATCAGAAAAAGAGTCCCAAGTTATCAGAAAGCATTGCAGAATATTAGCATGTTATTTCTGTGTGTGGTGAGTGTTTTTTGGGGGGGAACAGCCTTTAGTTACGGTGGAGTCCTACCAGCAGTCTGGAGTCAGGCACTCCATGCTTGGGTTCATCATAGTTGTTTTGAACTGATATACTGAATTCAGCTGCCTTTACTTTCCCCATCCTTTCCCATCGACAACATTGAATCCTTATTCTTATCTCACACATAAGATATTTGTTCATCTTCTACCTACCTCTTCGACCTTCTAACGTTCCAAGTCAACTCCCCCCCTCCCACACACACACATTGCTTGATCCTAAACTCCGCAGGAAGCTCTTTTCTTATCCTGGTCAACCTTTTTATTTCCTTCACCACAGTAACATTCCATGACTCGCCCTTCTTCCATTTGTTAGGCTGGTCATACATATTCTGTGGCAGCACAGTCAGACAGGGGAGGTGATACCCTATGGGCAAGTGACTGGCAGTTTTTAGTTGTGTGGGTTTTTGGTGATTTGAATGCTGTGACTGGTCGCAAGGATACCCATCCTGATTCCCTCTTTGTTCTTTGCTTTCTGGTTAGGATGAGACAGGTGCCTACCTCATCGATCGGGACCCCACTTACTTTGGACCCATCCTGAACTTCCTCCGACACGGAAAGCTGGTCCTAGATAAAGATATGGCTGAAGAAGGTGAGGCGTCAGGTCTATGAATGTGGGAATGGACAGCTGCCTATGCAGGCAGTGGAATCTCTAAAATGCCTGGAGCTGTAGATTGGGTTGGTTCTAAAAGCCGGCTGAAATAGGCCATGTCATGTCCACTGAGAAATAAAGATTTTCTTGCAACGTTATGTGGCATCCACAGTAAATACAGTATGAGCGCTGGCTTTATGTGTTAAGAGAGATGGGTGTGAAGGGAAGAGCCAGGAATGGTGCCACTCTCTTGAGGCAATACCCCATTTTGATCCTTGGGGAATCAAGTGGCTAAAGTGATGGACTAGGATCTAAATGGCCCAGATTCAATCCCCCACTTTGCCATGGAAGCTTGCTGGGTGGCCTTGGGCCATTAACTTTCTCTCAGCCTATCCTATCACAGGATTGTTAGGTAAAATGGAGGAGAGAAGAATGATGTTGACCACTTTGGGTCCCCATATAAATGAAGTAAAAGAAATTTAAAAATCGGATGTCTTGAATGTTTAAAGTTCTGTCCTCTTTGTAGGAAGCTGTTTTTACCCCCAAATGCCACAGCCCCTTATTCCAAAGCATAAACGACTCTGGAAGTCTCCAACCCCATCAGTTTCCCTTCCTCACAAAGCGTTCCATTGGGAACCTCCTGCTTTTGCTTCACTTTCTGTATAACATAACAAGAAGTGTGGGGAAGAGATGCTTGCTGTTGCCGGGACTAAATGGTCACCTAGTTTTCTGGGGTGTGGTCTCCTTAGTTTGAGTGACCTCCATCCATATCTGGGAGCTGGACGGCTGTGTGGGGGGAGGGGGGGAGAGAACAGAAAGGCCATTGTGGTGGTCAAAATACAGAAGTCTGCTTCATTTCTCTACTCCCCCCCCCTCCATTGGTGGAATTCACGCTTACAGTGGCCATAGTTGCTTACTCATCGAGTTGACTAAGATGTGTTGAGGGCAGAGTTCTAGATTAGACAGGAGGTCCAAATTGGTTCTGGATAGTAACTGAATGCTGGTTCCTAGGCACTCTGATTCCTCAGTGAGTTCATTAATTGCCTGTATCCATTACTTGCAAGCAAAGAGGATCACGTGTACCTCTGGAGAGAAGGAGGATGCAAATCAGCAAAAGGAGAAGGCAAACCTACTTCGAAGAAAGCAGCATCCTGAAAGCTATGACTGGACAGCAGCTGGAAAAGGGGTTTCTCCTGAGCTCTGTTGCTACAGCTCCTTTATTGAGTTTGTGCTAAAGGGAGTGAACCTTCAGCGGAAACCGAATGAGACCCCCTGATTTCAGCCCCCATAATGTCAGGAAGAAGTAACCTTAGGGGGTCAAAGATAGATCTTCAAGAGATCAATATGCCGCCTCCTAAAGTACTGGATGCACCTGAAGTTCATTTGTTACCAAATAAGCCTATGTAAAACAAGGGCACCATCCTGAACCATCCAGATGGCGTTTGAGAGCTGAGGTTGAGGCAGGAAGGGAGCTAGAGCTGAACAGTGGAAATCCCTGAAGAATAAGCTTAACCAAAATACATCCATAATGGTTACGTAACTGAAGTATGCTTTTAACACTACCAGGGAATAGATCCTCATAGCCCCTATCCAGGTCCCCAGGCTGTGTTTTATAAGGGGGGGGGGATGAGGGGACTCCTCTTTCCACAAATCATGGCAGTCAGGCTGTTTGGACAAAATTCAGCCCGCCGAGGCAAACTATTCCATAGCTCCCGACCTGATATCCCATTTCATGTTTTCAAACTTTTTCTCTTCTATGATAGAGAAGTTTTTAGCTGGAGGAACAGCTTTCTGTACTCCAATAAGACTCCACTGCATTGGAAATAATTAAATGTGTTGATAGATTGAGTGCCTCGATATCATGATTGCCCCAGAGAGGACAGAGACTGTTGCAGCATTTCATTCCTCAGATACATAGAAGCCATCTCCTTCTCATTAATCCAGAATCTAATAATGGAACATTTGTACACTTCCTTGTTCTCATTTACCAAAATGGATCGCCTTCTCCGATATTAGTTCCTACCTAATGTGTGTTCAAAGATGGTAATTTCTTCTCCCTCTACATCATCTGGCAGCTTCTGCAATTCTCACGTTCATCTAAATAGCTAGAACCATCCCGTTCCTTTGTTTATTCAAATAGGTCTCGTTGTGTACTTCATCTGCTTTAAACAGAGTGACTTAATATGTATACAGTATTCAAAAGTTGTCTTGTGCAGTGATATTAATGCTCCCCTGCTTTGTGTGTTCTTCTAATAACACATCCTAAAATGGATTTGTTTTTTATTTGCATTTATCTTGCTTTTCTTTCGCTGTGGGGGGCAGTATACATAGGGTTTTCATGGACTACTATCCAGGTGCTAATCAGGCCTGGAGCTTAACCTGCAAGGGGTTTATATCCTACACCTTCTAATCATCCCCTGGGACCATTTGCCCCTCCATTGATAGCATTGCATTGCATTGCATTGGTGACCAATTCAGAACCCTGTTACGGTTCAGTCAAATGGGTTTCTTTTTCTTCCCCTCTAGCCTAGCATCATCTACTCCAGTTTAGTGATTTCACCAAGCTAGTCACAGTCTTATTGGATGCTTGTTACGGCCCCAGGCAAGCAAGAGGTCTATAGCTTTTCTGGTCCGCTGCCATACGTGGTCAGGAGGGGAGGGCTGTGTTCAGCTTGGTGGGTCACAGACTTGTCAGGACTGTTCCAGTTGGCAGCTGCTCTTCTGAGTCTCAGGCTGAGATCCCCCCCCCCCCCCCCCGCGCGGGTGAGTGCTGCGCTTTTAACTAAGGTCAGGCACCAGGGCCTAAACTTGGAATGTCTCACATTTGAAACATGCACTGTTTCTCTCATCCCTTCCTTGTATGTCATGTGTTGTTTATCAAGTCTCCATCTCTCTTGATATATTGGTAGAATTATTACCCTTGGTAGCAGTTTGCATCCTTACTAGCCATTCCCTTCATTCTGATGTGTTTTTTTTCCTTTCCCATTTGGTATTTATTCAAAGACTAGTAAGCAAAGCCCGTCGTGGCGGTAGACGACAGGCCCTAGATAGGAAAAAAGCGCGAGTGGAAGGGAGGAATGGAGAAGAGGAGGTAGAGAGAGAGAGAGAGAGAGTTAGAAAGGGGGGAAAGAGAGAAAAGGGGGGGAAACAGAGTGGGGTAAATGTTAGTAATTTGGAAAGGAAGGAAGGAAGAAAGCTAGGAAGGAAGGAAGGAAGGAAGGAAGGAAGGAAGGAAGGAAGATGGGTAGAAAGACAGAGAGTGAGAGAGAGTGAATGGGACGAAGGATAGTTGAGAAGGAAGAAGGGCAGAGAAACAAAGAGAGGGGGGAAACAGAGTGAGTGAGAGAGAGAATGTTGGGAGGGGAGAGAGAGAAAAAGGAGGGGGGGAGGGGACCCGGCCTGGACTGTGGACAGGGGCCGGGGGGAAGCGGGGGACGGAGGGTCCAGGCCTCGTCTGCCGGCCTGGACTGGGGCCAGGGGGGCTGGGGGGAGCCGGCGGACGGAGGCTCCAGACCTCGTCCGCCGGGCTGGGGGGG